CACTGGTGCTCCCTGGAGTCTTGGGCCTAGGGGAATAGATAGCAACAGTTTTTCATATCTGTTTCTTGAGAGAATGAGTGTTATTGTACTATTTAGTTCCTATCAAGTATGTAAATCCTATGATTTCCGTTTTACAGTGAAGGTGATAACAGTGATGCCAATGAACTTACCTTGTGCTGTGTTGTGAAACAAACGTCAACAATAGTTCTAGGAACTTTCCTCATGTAAATTGTATCCAATGTGGAGTCTGTTTGGTCTCCTTGCTGTGACTGTAATGAAGAATTGCTGAGATTGAGTACCAGAGCCTGGCATGATGGTTTGGATGCAGGCCCAGCACTTAGGAGGCAGAGACAGGTGACTGTGCATCTGAGCCAGGCTCAGTTACAGAGAAAGACCCTGCTCTTCTTCATTTTGCTTTCAAAGAGGAATGTGCCAGATTTTGGGTGAGGTAGTTGATTCACGGTGACACTCTAAGGGATTACTGAGCAATAAGGAGTTTATTTGGAGTCAGATTGCCTTAAGTAGGCAGAAAGACAGAGAGGGCACACCATGGTGTTTCCAGGAGAGTTCAGGACCTGGCACCAGGAAAGAGTGAATGGAGGGATATCTGGAGAATATCTCGGTCCCTGTGGCAGAGACACTTTCTAATACTTTTTAGGGTGAAGGTGGGGTTACATTCACAATTGAAGTCTATAGCCAGACTCTCTGATGTCCAGGCTTGAGACAGGAGAGACATGTGACGAAAGACTGGATCCTCTATCATGAAAACTCATTTAGGTTAGGGTGGCACCAGCAAGGCTGCTCCTGGGGACTCATTTTGAGTGGAGCTGCATCTTTTCTCTATGTGTGACAGCAGAGAGGCAGTTACAGGGAGGCATGTGGATCAGAGATTCTAGCACTACATGCTGGCAGAGTATGCATCAGCCCACGCAAAACATCGCCATACTGGGTTCTTCAGATTAAAATACCTGTACTTTAAATTCCAGGTGATTTTACTTTTATCAAACTATGAATTCTTTCAAGAAAAATATATTCTACTTTCAAAGCTCTCCAATGTCCTTTTCGTGTATTATTTCTTCCATAATTGTTTCATGGGAAGCCTTCCCTGTGGTGAAATAGACGCCAGTGTGTATTGACACAGTTAGACTCACACACATTGCGGCACCGCTCAGCAGCGTGGTCAGTACTGTGCTCTCCTGGCCGCCTTCATTCTTGTCACTGAGGTTCGAGGCTGGTGGCAGACCTGACCACAAAGTCAAATCTTTGCACAGAGTTGGAATGAAATTGTGGCTGCAGAGAAATTTCACAAAGAGGTAGATGGCTGGCTGAGCATTTTCTAATTTTGATTCCCAAGAAGGCCTTAGGAGGAGCATTTTCTAATTTTGATTCCCAAGAAGGCCTTAGGAGGAAACAGGGGAGTCACTGGTTCAAAGCTGTAAAAGACAAAGATGGTGGCTCATCCCTCTAACATCTGTACTAGCTAGATTGAGGGAGGATAATGCCAGCAGCTGGAGACCACCCTGAACACGAGCGAGCTCCAACCCAGTCTGGGATGTCCAGTCTCAAAAACAAACCCAGAAAGTTGTAAAGAATTTTACCTAATTATTAACAATTCAGAAGAATCAGTACATCATTAAACCAAACTCAGACTACGCTGTCACATCTGCTGCCGCTCCGTATGTCATATCTTTGTAGATCTGAGAAGATAAGGAACACATGAGATAGGCGTGCAGGAGTCAGGGTGAGACTGAGAACGGGGACGGCTCCTTGTTTCCCTGATACAGCGTTTCTGTGTTTAGATAATTCTCACGTATCTCAGGCTGTCTTGGCAACAAAGTCACCTATTTCTGAGAACGGCCTTTGAACTCCTGATCCACCTGCTGCCAGCCCCAAAGTAGTGGGATCCTCTGGTGATTTCATAAGAATGGCCTCCATAGGCTCCTATCTCTGAATACTTGGTACCCAGCTAGTGGGACTCTTCGGAACAGATTAGGACATGTGGAATTATTGGAGTATGTTTGCAATGGGTGTGAGCTCTGAAATTTCAATACATTCTGGGCATTCCCAGTGTCTTTCTGTCTCTGGCTCAGGTTTGTGTCTCAAGTGTGACCTCTCATCTCCTGCCCTAGCACCATGCCTCCCTGCCTGCTGCCATGCTCCCCTCTCTGGTGGCCATGACCTCTAACCCTTTGAAACTGCAAGCCCCAAATAAAGCACTGTCCTTATAATACGCCTCAGTCCTGGCATTTATCACAGAAGCAGAAGAATAACTAAGATAGATACATGCACATTCAGCACACCTGGGTGTGCACAGTGCTCAGGATCCACCCCAGGACTCCACCCTGCTAGGTGCGCACTGTGCCAACTCAACCGCATCCCCAGCTCTACACATGTTCAGCTTCTAATTCAGGGGACACTGAGGCAATAGCAACTGTTTGTAATAGAAATCCTAACTCAAATGGTGACCTGCTGAGACATTCTGGGGAGGGATTCCTGGAAGGGATACAGTTTATCAGATCAGCACTGGGAAGAGGCCCTGCTCTGGGCAGCAACACCTAATCTGCAGGACACCCCTGGGCAGCTGGAGAGCCCCTAGAGCTTGCTAGTTTCACTGCTATGAGTGTGGGAAGTGTCTCTGCAGGGCTCTGCATGGGGCTCTGTGGGGGGCCGCAACCACACTCTCCACCATAAGATGGCGCTGCACCGCCAGGTGAGCAAGAAAGCGCACACGTGTTGGTAACTTTCCACTACTGCATCCCGCCTACTCCCGAGGCATCACCTAGGACTGGGAGCAGCGGACCAATCCAAGAGTGACACGTCCGAAGCAGGGTCTGTTTCATATATAAGGGATGGGTTCCTTCATATCTCCGTCTCCGCCATGTTGGCTGATGCTCGCTCTCACAAGGGGCATTAAAGCTATTTCTGCAGAAGGATCCTGTGTCCCGGGTGGTTCTTGCTGGCGAGACAGGGCGTGGGACAGGGCTCCTCCCATCCTGTCCCTGCTGGGTGGGAATCTTGATTGTGAGCAGTTGCCCTGAACTGCAGCTTCCTCCCTGTTCCCATCCTGTGAGTGCCCAAGTCCAGCCCCAGAGGACACTGCAGTTCTCTGTCCTCACCTTGTCTTTCCTGCCCTTAGGGCCACACCTGCCCTGCAGAGAGAAATCCAGCCAGAAGCTCAGGTGCAAGAGGAGCCCATGAGGAGGGCTTTCTTTCCATCATGGGCAGCTTTTGCAAAAGTCAGCATCTTTTAGGGTGATTGGGAATGAGCCTGAACAAGTTCTGTAGCATTGAGAGATGTCCCAAGTTCCTGGAAAGCAGAGCAGACCCAAGGAGACTGGCTCCCTCTGGTGGTCGAACGTCAGACACCGCTATGGTGAGTCCCCATTGGTTGGTTGGTCCTTAGATTCATTCTCAGTTTCAGCCCTCTAAGTTTTTTGATTTCTCTGCTGGATCACCAGAGATTAGACTTAGTGACCAACCAGGTCCTTGGGACATTTACTCTTGCTCCTCTCGCTGCTCTCCACAGATTCAGGTTCTCTTACTTTATTCTGAAGGTGTGAGAACAATTTTAAATCGCAGAGTTGGAGAAATTGAGAAGAAAACTCTGTCTTTGCTCTGGTGAGTTTGATTTCCAACTGAGTAGGTGCTGGGAAAGATGGACTGCTGTCTTCCTGCTGGGGGCACTAGGAATGAGGGTTCAGGTGGAGACCTGGCCAGGAGAAAGGCAGGTGTTAAGATCCAGAGAGATCGAGGTTTTTCTACAGATGGAGTATTTTCTCTTCTCTCCTAATGCTTAATTTTGGGTTGCACCAAGAATCTCCTGTTGAAAGGCTGACACTGCTGTCTGTCCATGCCTCCACCCCATTAAAAGGAGTAAAGCCCAAAGGGTGTTTGAAAACAGAGTTTAAGGTCTCTCTGTGTAACAGTGTGTTTACCCATGGTTCTATAAGTTCCTTCCCTTTCTTTTTTCTCTGTGATTAGAATCCCAATCTTTCTGCAGACATTTAGTCTATAGAGAATTGCTAATGTTACTTAATAGTCACTACATTTACCTGCCTTTCCGTTGGTTCATGTCTGTCAGGCATAAATAAAATTCAACACAGACTAGTAATTCCTGCTACAAAGAATGCTGATGCAAGAAGATACAAGGTTCAAGACCTGCCGAGGAACTTATTAAGATCAGGTCTCTAGAAAAAAAAAAAAAACTCAGAGTCTCTACCTTACTGGGCAATTCTTGGAATGAGGGTAGGGGCTGAGGGATACATTCAAATGCACTTCATACCCAATTCAGTCCCTAGGGAAGAAACACAAAATTGGAGGAAGAGGTAAGAGAAGAGAGAGAGACAGACAGAGAGAGAGAGAAACACATTGAGAGCACCCTTTCTAGAAGTCTCAGCTTTTCTATTTCTTTGGGACACGGTACCCTTATACAGCCCAGGCTAACCTCATGTAACTGCCCTGTGCCACCCTCCCCAGGCTCTAGGATTACAGGTGAACACTGCAGCCCCAGGACTTTTCTACCTTTCCAGGGACAGTGCAGCTCCTGACTGATTTTATGCTATAAAGACTTGAAGGTGTCTGCTGAGAGGAGGAGCTCGAGAGCTGCAAAAGGACAGGGAGCAGGGAATCGTGGTCTTTGGTGGTAACACGAGCCCCGGACATCATCCTAGGACCATTCTGCTGCAGAGTCAAGTACCCTGCATGGTCCTCAGTGACAGCACAGGCCTGGACATCACCGTGGCCTCAGGAGGCAGCTCACACTACTCACATCAGGCTGTTCCTCACAATCCTCATGTCTCCATGTCTGCCTCTTTCCATAGTGCCCAAACTGTTCCATCTGCTTCTCTTTCCTTTCCATTTTCCCACCATATACTTGATCATCATAGTGGATCCTGCCCTGCCCACAAGGCCATGGGTAGGGGAGGGGGTCTTTCCAGTGTCTGCTATCCCAGCTGTACCACGGCGATATCCCTAGTCTTTTTGCTTTGTTTCATTTATTTGTTTATTCATTTTTGGTTTTTCTTTTATGGAAAGAAGGTCTCACTTTATGACCCAGATTGGCTTGGAACTCTGCAGACCAGGATGACTTTGAGATGTTCCTGCATAACCCTCTAGAGTTTGGATATTAATAGGCCTGGACCTCTACACCCAATACTATGTTTGCGTTGGCCTTTGAAAATTAGACAGCTGTAGAGATTCTCAGTAACAGGATCTCATTTTATACACCACACCAGTCTTGATGATTCTGTACAGCTATAGCATCCCAAGTCATAGGATCCAACCCTCTCCAAGTCTACAGCCTCACAACCATCTTGGCAGACTTTGCAATTACCTGCATCCAGTTCTTTGGGTCTTTCTTGAAAATGCCTCTAAGCACATAGTGAGCTTCAGCCCAGGCTGGGATACAGAGTAGAACTCTGCCTCAAAAACTAAACCAAAGAAAAATGGTAAAAGGTTTCTACATAACTATTCACAATTCAGAAGGATGGGTACATTGTAACATTGTGTAACATCAATTGTGTCCATAGGAAAAATTACAGTACAGGTTTATGACATCACCAAGATGTGAAGCTTCAGCGAGGGATTTAGCTCAGCAATGGAGCACTAGCCCAGCATTCACAAGGCCCTGGGTTAAATACCTAGAAGGGTAAAGATCAAACTAAAACAGGAGCAGCAGAATCTCATGGTTCCAGCACTGGGGAGGCTGAGAAGGGTCTACTATGAGACCATATTTCAAAACAAGAGGAGAAGTAGGAAGAAAAACACATATTAAGTAAAATTCAAATTGTGGTGACATATCTGTTTATCTGCCACTTCTTATGTCACTTTTCAGTAGGTCAGAGAGGATAAGGAACAAATGAGTTGTGTTATTGAAGGAGGTGTGTCATTGGGAGCAGGCTTTGAAGTTTCAATAGATGTGGCCATTACCAAAGCTCTCCACACTCTGCTTAACGTTTGTATCTCAAGTTGTGACCTCTGATTCAGCACTGTATTAGTCAGGATTCTCTAGAGCACTGGATCTCAACCTTCCTAATGCTGTGACCCTTTAATACCAGTCCTTGTGTTGTAATGACTCCCAACAATAAAATTACTTTGTTATTTCATAACTGTAATTCTGCTACTATCATGACTCATAATGTAAATATTTTAGAGTTAGAGGATTTGTTAAAGGGGTGATGAACCTTGGGTTGAGAACCACTGTTCTTAATGTGTAGAATATATAGAAAGAATCATACGGGCAAGGAATTTAGAATGACTTGCAGGTCAACTAACCCAACAATGGCTGTCTACTAATGGGAGGTCCAAAAATACAGTAGTTGTTCAGTCCACAAGACTGAACGTCAACTGGTCTTCAGTACATGTCAGAATCTCGAAGAAATAGGCTCCAAGGCAGTGAAGGAATGGACTTGCTGGTAAGAGCAAGAGAAAGATCACAAAGAGAGAGCACAGTTCCTTAATCCATGCCCTTTATACAGGCTGCCAGCAGGAGGTTTGGTACAGATCAAAGATGTATCTTCGAACCTGGATATATCAAAATTAAAGATATGTCTTCCTACCTCAAAGATCTTGTTAGAAGTGTATCTTCCCACTTTAAATGATTTAATTGAGGAAAAATCTCTCACAAGTGTCTAGTCATTTGGGTTTTAGTAAACTCCAGATGGACTCAAGTTGACAACAAAGAATAGCATCACAAGCACCATGCCTCCAGCCTGTTGCCATGCTCCCCACTGTGGTGGCCATGACCTCTAACCCTCTGAATCTGTAAGCTCCAAATCTGACACCTTCCTTATAAAGGGCATCAGTCAAGCTGTTTCTCACACTTTGATGGTTAGAATGAAAATGGCTCATAGGAGTGCATTAGTAGGAGGTATGACCATGTTTGAGTAGAGTGTGACCTTGTTGGAAGAAGGGTGTGGGTAGAGATGGCCTGTATGATTTCTAAGCTCCAGTCAGGGCTATTACCTTTCTCTTTTCCTGCTGCATTTGTTCCAGATATAGAGGTCTCTACTACCTGTCCAGCACCATGTTGCCTATATGCTACCATGCTTCCAGGCATGATAATGGATTAAACCTGTGAATGGTAAGACTGCCCTAATTACATCTTTTCATTTATAAGAGTTCTGTGGTCACAGTGTCTTTTCACAGTAATAGATATTGGTACTAAGACACACAGCAGTACAAATGTAACTGAGCACATGCCACCACAACTAGTTTTGAACAGTGTGAGAAACAGCCACAGAGTTCCACCTATGCTAGGCATGCATTGTGCCAAATCAACCCCATTCCCAGCTCTACACATTTTCAGTTTTAATTGAGGAGATGCTGAGGCAATATCAAAGATCTTTAATAGAAAATTTAACTCAAATGGGGGCCTGCTGAGACATTCTGGTGTGGGATTCCTAGAAGGGATTTAATGAATGGATCAGATCAGCACTGGGAAGAGGCCTTGGTCTGTTCAGCAACAGAATACATAATCTGTAGAACACTACTGAACTGCTGGAGAACCCTCTGCACCTTGCAAGTTTGACTGCCCTGGGTGTGGAGAAGTGTCTCTACATGACTCTACATGGTAATCTTCCCCATCCTGTTCCTGCTGCGTGGGAATCTTGATTGTGTGCAACTGCTCTAAACTAGATTCCTCCCCGTCCTTATCCTGTAAGTGCCTAAATCCAACTCTGATATGGGATTCACCTCTGTATGCTATGAGATGTTTTATTACCATTGGTGATGTGTGAAGGGGAAAGTCACAAACAATCCCACACCAGTTTTGAATTATGATTAAGACAATGGTTATTTATTCAAAGGGGAAAAAACTTACAGATTACCGTCCCAAACAACAGCCCCTCTGCGCAATCAGGAAAGGAGTCTAGGAGCCAGAAGCAGAGCCGGAAGCCAGAGAGAGAGTGGAGGACAGCCGCTGCTTTTTTAAAGAAAGAGAGAGACCACGCCCCAGTGGGCTGGTATCTCAGCGGCTATTGGCTGAAGGAGCAGAAGGAGCTCCCACAGCATCTCCCCCTTTTGTTTAAGTAAGAGAGTTCTAAGCCTACTATGAAATTATATACAATAAGTACAAACCTACGAAATTACATACAATAAATACAAATATCCTATTCTAACTAGTTTAAGTCTTGTATAACAAATAACTTGGCCAAGGCATGAGAGGAAAGTAAACACAATTATATAATCTTCAATCCCATCAAAGATCTGAGAAGGGAAATAAGGTTACCTGAGTAATTAGGAAGTTCAATCAAACAAATTTCAGAACATGTAACAAATCACAGAGACAAATGGCTACCTGGGCAAACACCCAAAGTCACGTTTGCAGTGTTGAAGCAACCAACTTTGGCTAAGGCCTAATGTAGCTGACATACCACTTTCAAAGGCAAGAAACTTTTCAAAACTATCTTACCCTGTCTTGGCAGGATATGACAGTCCTGTTTTATCCATTTCCAGATACTCTGTAACTCTGTCAGTAGTTGAGGCATGGGCATTTCTTTACCCAAAGGCCAGTTCTGCAAAGAAGAAAGGCTCCAGGTGGAGTGCCTTTGGTGCTCAACATTCCCGTGGGAATAGATCGGTGCTGCCAGGAGTGATTATGTCTACTATCACAGAACGCTGAATTAGATTGAAGGCCATTTTCTACAGCTCTTTGAAGAGGATGAAGATTATCTATCTATACTGAATATAATCTCTATGTATTTAAAGAACCTGATTAGTCTAATTATAAATGACAAACTTAGATGACTACTGATCTACATAATTCTCAATACCTATCTAACTTAAAGACTGAGACAATAACAACTGCGCAATAAATGAGGACAATATGACCTCCAAATATAAACAATGTACAAGTATACATTGCGATATGGTAAATATATATATATCAATACATAAACAATATATAAGTATCTTAATCAGAGGTAGAAATGTACAATGCAATATGGTAAATATACATATATCAATACAATATATATCAATACATAAAAAATGTTTCAAACAGAGGTAGAAGCATGCATGCATACAATAGCCAACATAATTTAACTTTGTATCAATATACAAGAATCGACACCAATATATCTGTCTAAAAACAATAACTCACAAGTGCAAATCTATTAATCTATTATCCCATCATCCAGTTATCCCTCTATTTTTTTAAGATTTCTGCACTTATAAGATTCCTCCCCCAACCCTCAACCGTATACTAATTATAACCAACCCGTAAATGATGTCCCTAAACCCAAGGACAAACTTTACTGGGAGAGGGGACGTCATTCTCTAGAATTACTTCCAGCTGTCATGGGGGCGACATTCTTTCTGGGGGGTCCTGTGAAAGTAAAATGATGGTTAAATTTCAAGATCAATGTCTTTTAAAATTGCAAATAGTCTCTGAGTATTTTGTGGAGGTCTGGCCAGAATGTTGTACAAGATGTGCACCATTTCAGCAAACCATGTTGGAACCGTCTTGTGCAGCTGATACCCAAAACAGGTCTTGTAGTAGCGCTAGCAGTATCATGATGTCATATCAACTGGGTGGAGTTGTTATGGGTCCCCATCTTCTTCCTAGAAACTTCAAATATCACTGGAGGAAAAACTCATTACTCATTGTGGAAAATTTAAACATTAATCATATAGACATATACA